AGAGTCTTGCTAAAGGCTCTCAGGGGAGCAACAGAACCAGTCCTTGAGTTCAGATCCTCTGATGCTTATCCCAGGACGTCTTATTTCACATTCAAACAAGTAACTCAGAGGATTTACAACTGGAGGCACAGGAACCAGATGGCTCTCTCTACTGGAGAGACAATGATCAAATGAGAAAAAGGTAAAACTGGGGATGTTTCTAGCTGAACTCCTTCTGTCTCCTCTGTAAGCAGGTCCAGGGCCAGAGCAGAGGAAAGAAGCTGCTTCTGTTGTGGGCTCTAGCTTTCAGTAGAGGCTGGGATCACATTTCTCATCACACCCCAAACAGGGCATCTGACAAGCCACAGGTATGCAATGGGGCTTAAGCCTGTTCCTTTTGCTCTCTGGCTGCTGGGTTCTACTGAAGGTCTAGGGGCAGTGGGACCAGCTGGGACCCTTCCCTTTTAATTGAGAGCAAATGCCTCCCTTTCCCTCTGTCTGACTCCCTTTATCTTCTCCTCCTTTCTCTTGTTCCTAGTCTCATATTCACAAAGTTTTTTGTGGGTGTAGCCTGGATAACCTCTTATCCCCACTCCTTTCATTTTTTGTCCTTAAGGAAGTTGGAAAAGATTAGCCGGCCAGTCTCCATCCAGACTGCTCTTGTACTTTTTTCTCAGGCCAAATATTCGTACTGTGTGGACCCATGGTCCTCACTACACTTGTAGGGCTACATTTAAGGGCACAAAATCATGCCCTAAAGGCTGGATTTAGGGAGAGCTGTCCACCCATCTCCCCACTGTGGTCATGCTTCCCCACCCAGCTTTTGCCAGATCCCTTGGTTTTCCAACTGGTTTGACAACTGCTTTTCCACCAGCTCGTGGTCCTCTGGGACCCTCCAGAGCCTCTTCTGCACTTCTATTCACCCTGCACCCATGAGTCACTCCTCCGCTCAGCTCTTGGGAACAGCTTCCACACCCGGGCTTCTGGGTTTCTGACTCACAAAAAGTCAAATGAATGGCTCTGGGTGTGAGAAACAGACACTGCATCTGGGGGTGGTTACTCCACAGAAGCTGCAGTGTTTCCCTGGAGAGACGAACTAGCCAGCTCCTTGCTGTGCCGGCGTACTGGGAGGAGCTGTGCAGATCTGCGTAGACCACCGAATGGAAGGTAGGTCCCGACATATCCCCTGGTGTTTAAAGAGGGTCCAGGGGAAACACAGTAGGTAGCTCCCCAGGGACAGTCTGTGTCACCCAAGTACATGATAGGGCCTGATTGCGAATGGGAGGGGGGCCAAGGTGATGAGGTCATCGTTAACTCTCAATCTTGCAACTCAGCAGTGGAGGCCCTTCCTCCCTACTAGTGTCGTGAGCAGCCCTAGTTTTCCCATGTGGGCAACAATGAACTCGTTCATAATGCAGCTTTGTAAGTGGTCTGTCTCCTCCCAGGCAAAGCCCACTTTGGAAAACCCTCAACTTTATTGTTTTGTATGCATACAAGGGACACACACTGGCAGGCACACAAGGCACACAGAGACCTGGGAACACAGACACATATAGACAGACACAGACACGTAGGCAGATGAAACATACACACGCACACACACACAGGTGCCAGCATACAAACATACCAAAGCCAAAGAATGTTAGCTCAAAGAGAATCCCTGAAGAAGCTTGACTCTCTTACTTTACAGAGGAGGAAACTTTCGCCTGCAGGAGGTCACTAGCCTAAGATCACACAGCTGGTTTTTATGATGTCTTTCTTTCTCTGTCCTGAACTCTGCACTTTGCCCACGAGCTCAGCAGGAGTGCTATGCTTTGCTTGGGGTCTAGCTCTCTGCACCCCAGTCAGGGCATTAGACCCGAGCAAAGAGCTGGGGTGATCACGGGGCTCACTTTGTGTGGTTTCCTTCTGCGGATGGTTGTACTTCCCCAAATGACCACAGTAATACCTCCCATTCCCATGCTCTTTTTACAGTGACTTCAGCGTCCCTGCCACCAGCTGTGGGGTCTATGTTCCCTCCCCTTGACCTGGAGTGTGTGACTTGCTCCAGCCGGTGGGGAACAGCAGAAGGGATGCTATGAACTTCGTCGACTCAGTCATGAAGTCATGCTTGTCCTCGCTCTCACTCTCCCTCTCTCTTGCGGAACACTCATCCTGGAGACCCAACCACCATGTCTGGGCCCAAACTAGCCCACCTGGAGAACCCATGTGGGGAGGCCCCCAGGAGAGAACGGTGGCCCCCAGCTGACAGCCAGAGAGGTGAGTAAAGAGCCTTGCGATGACTCCATCCCCCAACTTTGTAGAGCAGAGACAAGCTGCCCTCATGCGCCCTGTTTGAAATTCTGATCCACAGTATCTATGAACATAATACATGTTTGTTTTACTTCACTAAGTTCTGGGGTAATTTATAATGTTGTCATAGTAACTGCAACACCATCTCTTAGGAATGATAGCTCTGTGCTGCCTGTTGTCCGATGCTGAAAATAGTTGCCTTACATATTTTGTCCTGTGTTATTGTTCTTGGAGAGCTAGTCACTGAACCAGTACTTCATTTGATTTTATTTTTTTTACAGATTTTTATATATTTATTTGAGAGACAGAGCAAGTGAGCATGAGTGGGGAAAGGGGCAGAGGGACAAGCAGACTCCCCACTGAGCAGGGATTGATCCCAAGATCCCGAGATCATGACCTGAGCTGAAGTCAAATGCTTAACCGACTGAGCCACCCAGGTGCCCCGACCAAGCCAGGACTTTAGTCTGAAGCTCTGTTCTCTAAAATAATGATTAAGATACTAACAATAACAAGAATATTGAGAGGAGCTTCCTTTTGACTGTTTGCTATGTACTAGGCACTGTGCTAAGCATTTTACACACGTTATCTCAATGAAACCACACAGCAGTCTTACGAAATAGGCATTGTTAACCTCCATCGTACAGAGAAGAAACCCAAGGTTCAGAGAGATTAAATGATTCACTGATGGTTTGCACACACGTCTGTCTGACACCGAAACTCATGCAACTGACCATTTACAGAAGCACGTATAGACACACTAACACCACCGAATTGCGTATGTATACATATATATGTACATGCATAGGCATATAGAGACACATACACATTTCAAGTTTATATTTCTTGTTCTCAGAGCTAAAAATCCCCATCCCCCAATTATGTTAAAAAGACTGCAAGAGACTCAATCTGCTTAGTATTATGCTTCCCAAGCACACCCCAATATAAAATTCTCTCCATCTGGGGCCACCACAGGCATGGGCGGCAGAGAGATTGTCTCTGTTCTCCTGCCAAGGATTGCCTGGGACCCGGACTTGGTGGGGAGGTGGGGCGGTACTCTTAATAGGACTTGGCTTGGTAGAAGGAAGCCTTCTCCTGGGGCCGTGAGGACTGTGCACTTGATGTTGTAAGATTCTAAATTCAGTGAAACAGAGTGACTCCCAAGTGTGTGAAAGCAGAGAGTGCAAAACAAGAGACCATGCTTGGAAGCGGAGGAGGTGGCCCCCATTGTTGAAACGGGGTCATTTCCAAATATTCCAGAACAGTGATAGGAGCTGGCTGCTGGAAGGAAGAGCCATTCCGTAAGGGCTTCTTCATTCTGGAGTTTTCTTAGATTCAGCATGCCAACTTCTAGGGAATGGGAATAGGAGGGTACTGAGAAGTTCTGGACTGGCAGTTTTATTAATTTTTTTAAGATTTTATTTATTTCTTTGACACACAGAGAGAGACATCAAGAGAGGGAATACAAGCAGGGGGAGTGGGAGAGGGAGAAGCAGGTCTCCCGCTGAGCAGGGAGCCAGATGTGGGGCTTCATCCCAGGACCCTGGGATCATGACCTGAGCCAAAGGCAGATGCTTAACAATTGAGCCACCCAGGCGCCCCTGGACTGGCAGTTTTAGAGCAAGAATGAGAGAGACACTTAGGGAGCAAGAGTCTCAGAGCAGAGCGCCAGGCTCAGGAATTTAGAACTCCTTAAAATAGTGGAGACCCCAGGGCGCCTGAGTGACTCAGTGGGTTAAAGCTTCTGCCTTCGGCTCAGGTCATGATCCCAGGGTCCTGGGATTGAGCCCCCCAACCGGCTCTCTGCTCAGCAGGGAGCCTGCTTCCCCCTCTCTCTCTGCCTGCCTCTCTGCCTACTTGTGATCTCTGTCTCTCTGCCAAATAAATAAATAAAATCTTAAAAAAAAATAGTGGAGACCCCAGTCCTAATCTTGAGAATAGATAACAACACAGAGATGCTTCTTTGGGGGAAGAAAGAAGTGATACTCATGTATTACAATCACCTTTATCTGGAAAATAGATACCCCAAGTGGATCCCCGTCCCTGCCTCCAAAGAGCTCCCCCTGTGAAACCTACAACAAGCAGGTGAGTCCCGAGCAGGACAATGAAATGAAAAGTGTTTGTTTCGCCACCACTCCCTGCCCCCTTTCTCAAGTTCAGTCCTGAAGCACTGTTCCAAAGCTCCTTAGAAGGAGTTCTTGGGACTCTAATACTCTTACCCATTTTACAGGTTAAGAAACTAGTGCCGAGCTTCGATGCCGCCTAGCTCAAGCTGGGCAGTGGCAGCCCCAGCCCAGTGCCGTCTCTTGTGTCCCGGCCAGTCAGCGGTATCCTCTCCACCTCACCCATCTAGGGGACTCCGCAGCCTCCGGGAAGGCTCGGGGCATCCGATGAACGAACTGCCAAGTCTCCGCAGCCTAGGTGGTGAGGAACAGTAGACTGCGCCAAAAAGGGGTGCAGGGTCTGTCTCCATCTCAGCCGTTGCCCGCCTGTCCCATCTTGTGGCTCCCTCCCCACCCACCGCCCCGTCCGGAAAAATCAATGCAGATCCCGGCGCCTGTGTGGTCCCAGCTCTGGCACCGGGGAGAACGCTCCCTAGGCTCTTTGTGTGCGGACAGGGAGAAGGTAACGCAGATTGCCGGCTCAGATGAGACCGCCCAGTGGCCCGACTGCAAAGTTCTGGAGGGTCTCTAGCACGCGGCCCCCTCTCCGCCCCCTCACGCATCCTTTACCTCCGCCTCCCTGCGCAGCTCCTGGCCTCCGCGCTCGGAGAGCTGGGCGTCCAGGCCGCCCCACAGTAGTAGCGGCAGGGCGCGCAGCAGGAGGCCGACACACGCCGCCATCTCGCCGCCGCTCCTGCCGCGGGGCGCGGGCTCGTGGGGAGCCCCCCTGCGCGCGAAGCTGCTCTAGGCGGTCAGTGGCGCCCGGGACCCCCCGGGTGCTCTGGCTCTGCGCAGCCCCTCCCGGCGGAGCGGGAACGCGGGGGGGGGGGCGGTGGCTCGCGGGTGCTCGGGCTCCAAGCGCAGGGCCGCCCCTTTGGGAGCGTCGCCGGGAGCCGGCCCGAAGTGGTGCAGCCTCCGCAGTGCCTGCCTGCGGATCGCCGGCCCCGGGACCCGGAGGGCAAGGGAGGAAGGGAGGGAGGAGGGGCGGGGGCCGGGCATGCCGGCCCCACCTACTCCGCTCCGACGCTGGAACGCGCGGCGGTCCCGGAGCCTCTTCCGCAGGCTGCACAGCCTGGCCCGATGCCCGCCGCCGCCCTGCCCACCGGTTCTCTCGCCAGCCACCTCCAGCTGATCCGGATCTCTCCGGGGAGGGCTGGGAAGAAGAGTCTCGCGGAGACTGTAGCTACCTAAGACATCGATCTTGGAGCGTCCTGGCTTGCCCGAGGGTCACATTATTTTAGCCAGGCTGGCAGGGGGCGAGGCCCCTGGCTATGAGAGAAGGAGCCCTGGGTTGGGTCCAGAGGAATGGGGTTTCAGTTCCAGATCTGCTTCTTTGCTAGCCATGTGAATCCTACCTCCATTACTTGCTGGCTGTGTGGTCTTAGGCAAGTCACTCACCCTCTCTGAAAGTATTTTTCTCATCGGTAAATGTCGATAATAAGAATACCAATATCATATGGTTGTAGGGAGCATTTAATGAGAGAATAATGTAAGTGAGCACTGTACCCGACTTCGTGCGGTATGCATAAGTGGTAGGCTGCCTCTTTGTGACTTGTGGCAAGGGATTTAACTACTTGGAGCTCATTTAACTACTGGTTCCTCATCAGTAAAATGAGAGCAAATGATACTTAGTTCCCAGAGTTGCATGGAGATTAAACGAGAAACTGAGGGTAAAGTGCTTGTCTTTATGCATTCCGCAGTCTTCAGAGAAGGTGGAATGAGACGATTTGCCTACGAGCCTTCGCTAAACTCGCCCTGAGCAGAAGTCGACAGTTTTCATTATCTGCCTTCGTCACTGCGAGCAGGGTGCTGTCTCTCTCTTCGGGTCTCAGTTTGCTAATGTGAAATGCAAATGGCACAATGACACCGACCTCTGGGACTGTTTGGGGATTCCGTGAGTTGATCCGTGTGATTTGGAATGTCTAAAGTGCTAAGCAAATGTACTGCAGAGTTCTTATCCTAAGGTTCGGAGCCTCAGGAGCCCACAGAAAGTTTCTATGTTATTTCCAAAAAGATGCCACTCGGGTGGAGGAATTTTTAAAAAGGCACCTCTTTCCGGTGGACTGACTTAGAGGCTGCGGTGGGCGAACTAATTGGCGATAGGTCCCGCCTACTTCCTAGATAACCAATGAAAAGGGGGCACTCCTCCTGGGCGAACCAATTAGAAACAGGCGCGCCTCTGCGCTGGCCAGTGGATAAAAACAGCGGCCTTCGCCATCCCTGCGCCAGGACCCCGCTGTGGGCATAGAGTTGTAAAGGATTTATGAGCCCAGCCTTGCTCCTTCTCCGCCGGGGCCCTGGTGCACATTCGTAAGGAGCGTCCTTGCCTGGGGCGGAAGCCGGGCGATGGTGGCCAAGGCCTGGGCCTTCCCCTCAGAGAGCTTTCAGTCTAGCGGGGCAGACTGGACGAAGGTTCTCAGCTAAGGACTGCACTGTGACACCGCCACGCATTCAAGCGGAGTCCTGCGGTGAGATTAGAGGAGGGAGATGCTGACGGCGTGTGGGATTGCTGGATTTAGCAAATAAAAATTTGTTATGTCCTGTTAAATTTGAGTACCGGGTTAACGACAAATAAGTTTTTAGTATAAGTATGTGCAAATGCAACATTTGGGACATATACTAAAAAATTATTCACCGTCAATCTGAAATTCAAGTTTAACTTGTTTAACTTAACCCCCTTGTTTAACTCTCTAGTGACCCTAGAGAGTGTGTGTGTGTGTTGCCTGAAGGTTGCCCGTATAATGGGGTATATGCTGTCCTTGACCAAACAGGTGTTTTTTTTTTAAGGTTTTTATTTAAATTTCAGTTAGTTAACATATAGTGTAATATTAGTTTCAGGTGTACAATATAGTGATTCAACACTTCGGTTCAACACCCAGTGCTCATCACAAGGGCACTCCTTAATCCCCATCACCTATTTCATCCATCCCCCAACTCACCTTCCCTCTGGTGACCATCAATTTGTTTTCTATAGTTAAAAGTCTGTTTGTTGGTTTTGCCTCTTTTGTTTTTTCCCCTTTGCTCGTTCATTTTGTTTCTTAAATTCCACATGAGTGAAAGCATATGGTATTTGTCTTTCTCTGACTTATTTTGCTTAGCATAATACTCTCTAGCTCCATCCACGTCATTAAGATGGCAAGATTGCATTGTTCTTATGGCTGAGTAATATATTATTATATAATCTATATTTATAATAATATAGATTTTATAATATAATTATATAATAATATATTACTCATATATTACTATATATATTTATCATCTTTATCTATTCATCAATCAATGGACACTTCGGCTCTTGGCTATTGTGGATAATGTTGCTGTAAATATTGGGGTGCCTGTATCCATTTGAGTATTTTTACATTCTTTGGGTAAATACCTAGTAGTGCAATTGCTGGATCACAGGATAGTTCTATTTTTAACTTTCTGAGGTACCTCCATAGTGTTTTCCCAAGTGACTGCAACAGTTTGCATTCCAACCAACAGTGCAAGAGGATTCCCCTTTCTCCACATCAATAGGTGGATTTTGAAGGGCTAGATACAACTCTGTATCAATCTAGGGCAGGGAGCTCTGAGGAGCACCAGTTGGCAAGGACACCATTGGCCAAGCTGGAGTCAGTCCCAGATCTGCCAGTTCTCTTTCCAGGCAGGATTTTTCCATCCCTCTCTCCAGCACATGACAGAGGGTGTCCATATCAGCTGCACTGGGAAGAGAGGGAAAGCAGGAAGCAGTGCTTCCCTGGAGGGCTGAGACTGGGAGGACTGAGCCACTCGGAGAGCTGACTCTGCCTTTCTCTGCATCCCAGGTTAGCCGTGGTCCCTGGACCTGGAAAACTAGCACCACTGTTGTGTATGAACATTGACTTCCTCTGTTTTCCTTTTGTGTTCTTGGTTAGATTATTTCATCTGATCCTCACCTGTCCCACATTACCTCTGTTTGTGGTCCCTTGGAGATGCCAAGAATTTGCACTTGGAAGTGCCTGCAAGAATTTATGCAGAAAAGAGCTTCCTTTGCCCACATGCTCATCCTGGGCTTCAACCATGCTTTGGCACAGGATGTCTCCATTTCCCAGAAAGACGGCATGTTTCCATGGTTAGAACCATTTCAGTTCCCTTCTGCCTCCAAAGCTTACTCATAAGTCCCAGAGCACCCAATTCTGTGATCTTCTTCAGGAATCCAGGGGCCTATGCAACTCCATAACTGACTTGCTGTATGCTTTCACTTTCCAGGACACATCTTGAGTCAAGTCACTTTGGATAGGGTGGAGGAGGGTGGCCTGCCATCTGAGAGGGGTACTGAGGAAGGAAGGAAGATGAGAAAGGCAGGATAATTTATTGGAAGAAGCTCAGTCCACAGCAAGGGCATCAGAAGAGTGATGAGGTTGCGGGGAGAATGGCTTTGGATCAGCCACGTGCCAAACAATCCTGTGATGACAAGTCCCTGTGTTAATCCAATACCATTATTTCCTTCTCTGGTGGGAGTGGGGGTAGGGATGGGAACGAGGAGTTGGAACAAATAATAGTAGTTAATGCTTGCTGAGAAATTAACACGTGCCAAGTATGTGCTCTGTGCTTTACATAAATCATGTCATCGACTCTTCGCAGCTTCCTTATGAAAAAGCTACTATTATAAGCATCCTTATTTTATTTATTTATTTATTTTAAAGATTTTATTTATTTGACAGAGAGAGATATCACAAGTAGGCAGAGCAGCAGACGGAGAGAGGGGGAAGCAGGCTCCCCGCTGAGCAGAGAGCCCGATGCAGGGCTCGATCCCAGGATCCTGAGATCATGATCTGAGCAGAAACAGAGGCTTAACCCACTGAGCCACCCAGGCACCCCACTTATTTATTTGTTTGACAGAGAGAAAGATCACAAGTAGGCAGAGAGGCAGGCAGAGAGAGAGCGGGAAGCAGGCTCCCTGCTGAGCAGAGAGTCCAATACAGGGCTCGATCCCAGGACCCTGAGATCATGACCTGAGCCGAAAGCAGAGGCTTAACCCAGTGAGCCACCCAGGTGCCCCCAAATCCTTATTTTAAAGATGAGGAAACTGAGGCACAGAGAGATTATATCATTTGTTGGAGGTCATAAATCTAGTAATGGAGCCAGGGCTCAAACCCAGTTAGTATAACTCCAGATCTTGAGCTCTTAAACTCTATGCTATCTCACCTCAAGTCACAAGATCACTGGAGGACCTGCACTGAATCACCTGGAGGCACTTAGTAAAGATTCAGATTCCTGAGCTCTTCTTCAGACCTACCAAATCACTAAAATACTAGACACCATTGTTCAAGGGGAAGATAGAGGGGCTAGGTTTTCCAAGGGTCTGGCTCTCTTCTTCCCTCCCTCCCTATCTTGGCTGAGCAAGTTCCTGACCCAGCTAGGCTGGCAGTCCTCTCCATTCCGCCTCTTCAAAAAGAGCTGCTTCCCCTCCCTCTTTCTCTGCATTGAGGCTCAGTTCAAATCCACAGTACCTCCCAGCTCTCCCAGAGTGGACAGGGCTTGGGCACATTGTATGCCCATGGGAGTGGCTGGCAGCTGCCTGGGCCATTCCTTCTTCTCTACAGAAGGCAACAGCTGGCCAGTGAGTCCTCTTCCTGACCAGGACCCTTTGAGTCAGGCAGGATGTATGGACCTGGACAAGGCCCTTTCTGGGCCTCAGTTTCTCTCTTCATAATATGAAGAACAATTAGCTTTGTCTCTGCCCTTTCCTCCTTCCCAGGAAGCGTGCAGAGCACAAAGCAGATTTTATCAGAAGGAATTAGGGGCTCTGAAGAAAGGCGCTCAGAGAATGACCAGCCTCCCCAAGTGACAATAATAGGAATAATAATAAGAAGAATGAGGACATGGGATTAGCCTGGGAGCCCTGAAGAGGAGGTGTTCTGCAGAGTTGTGAGGAGGTTAGCTGTGATA